TAGAAACAAGCCACTGTCTATTCCTTACCAGGTTCAATCTCCTAGATATTTGATATAAAAAGCGTCCCCTCTTTTGCGATGACTTTCCCTCCATAACTTTAATAAAGGATTGATAGAGACACATTTCTTATCATTATTTTTTTATTCTGTTTTACTATCTATTCCATATCTTCAACATCACAAAAAGGTTGAAGCTGACATACCCATAATTACCTCAGAAAGATACTATACTTAGTGCCAAAAATACAAGCTTGTATTCTATCAATGCAACCTAACGCAAAGGAAATGTCTCAACTTGATAACAGGAGTTTGTTGACCATTAAAAATTTCGACCGACTAACCATGAATTTTTGCTTTGGCACATGATAAAAAAAGAATTAAACAAGTGTTGATGTAACTGGCTCTGACGCCCAAATAAATCAGTACTGTACAAGGATGGCCATTGATATATTTGTAATACAAAAATAACCTATTTGTTTTTACATCTTTTGTATAAAGTCACTATACATTATTACTTGACATAAAATTCTCTTTGCTTTTCATTAATTTAATTCAAATAACTTACAATAGTGTTTAACAATCTCCTTGATTTTTGTGTTGATTTAAATATTAAGCATTTTGTTGCAGCTGTATTTTGTTTACTTGTATCTTTAAAATATGCTATCCTACCTTTAGCTACCGCTGTTATCAATACAAACAAGCATCCTGGCATCATATAAAGGGTGATCTCCATTTTTATTTTTCTTGATTCTGTCATCTTCTGGTGAGCTAATAAAATGTTTTATTTGTCTGTATAGATTGTATCACATGTTTAATTGACGCTACAAATTAACATTATATTGTCTTCGGCACAGAAGCTTAGTTAAATTCTGAAATTAAAGTATTAAATAGATATATATATGCCTTCTTAAACTCCAAACGAATATAAATAAAGGGCAGCTTCTCTTGAAGGTATTACTTTAACTATTTTTTAATCACATGAAAAAAGTTATCGGGTCTATGTGCTTCATCTGAAACGATAAAACAATCGATTTCTGGCATTGAAATAGTCATGTATTGTGTATGGTTCTACTAGAACTTTTTTTGGTGCCTTTCTTTTCAACTCTATAACGTGACCGTATTTATTAATATAATAACAAATTATTACATATTCTTAATCTTAAACCTCATCAGCAGTATATTTACAGTAAGATATTTTTTTTTTTTTAAAAAAAGTTTTTAATCGAATACACTTAAAATCCTAGACAATCGGTATCAATATGAGTGAGTAACAAGATACAACGTGTTAATAAGTCAGTACATAGTATTTCACGAGCATATATATCTTATCAAGTGACCTACCGTACTATGTCAACTTTTACATCTTAGTAGCTCGGATTACTGCTCTGCCTGCATATAGATAAAGAAAGAAGTATCAATGTCTATGGAAACGACCAAAAATGCCTCAGCACTCTTTTACGCTCCAATTGTTTAATTTTCTTAATCAAGTATTTGTATTTATCTCTATTATAACCTTTTTTAGGGCTTCGACGTAAAAAGCAAAGTATTTGATTAATTGTGTGGATAAGCATGTCGTTCGTAAGTGGAAAACTGATAAATTACAAGTACACTTATAGCATGTAGTGTGGCGAAATTGATGTTTGTCCACATGGCATAAAGCGTCTGATAATTAGATAAATATGCATTTAACTCGTACTTTATAATAAGATTAGGCATTATACTATCTTGTAAAATTCATATGCATTTAGGTTAGAGCTTAGGATGAACAATCATTTTGCAAATAATGCAGTCTGTTTTTTATCAAATTTAACTATAAAAGCAAAGAATCTTACCGGTCAGAAGCAACCTTGATAATCAAGCAAACAAAGCTTCAATAAGACACTACTGATGACACAAATTAATAATTCTGATACTAAAAGCGAAAGCAATAATTATACCGATACTTACACCACACGATATGGTAGAAAATATAATGCAGCCACTAACTATCTTCTCCCCATGGATGAAGGAGGTACCTATAAGACGATGGCAAGTTACTGATTTACTAACTTTCTAAATCAGAATCAGCCCGTCTAAGTCGTTTTCAGATCGCTCATCATCTTCTATTCGGAGGGTAATAAATTCACTCAAAAGTGCTATATGCTTGTGAATTAAACAGGTTTATAGGGATCATCAAACACCCATTAAAGAACAACTAGAAAAAGGGATAAGCGTTTTAGATAGCGCTTGTGGAGCTGGCGCACACTGGACTTTGACTATGAAAGAACAATATCCTAATTGTGTATATACTGGTGTGGACATTTCAAATGTATTTCCGGCCGAAAAGTATTCCAGTGTCAACTTTGTTATGGGGAATATTTCAAAACGTATTCCTGCTCCTGATGAATCTTTTGATTTTGCCTTCCAGAAGTTACTTGGTTTAGCTTTTACAAGGGAGGAATGGGACAGCGTAAATCTAAACTAGCTTGATTCATGTATCCATACTAACTTCTATCAACATTATAGAACCTCAAGGAATTGTATCGTGTTCTTAAACATGGAGGATATGTTGAGTTATCCGAGGTACAATGTCTAATCAGCTGTATTGGTTTACATTTTTTTTTAAAAAAAAGACTTAAATCCCAATTAGATTTATGCTGTATCGGCATGTAATACGGGCCCTCTAATGGATCAAGTAATGAATGCATGTAAGCAAATTTAGATAAACACCCTCTATTGAACTGACGCTTTATCTGTAATATAATCCAGTTAAGACTATATCCAAATCCAAAGCTATCATAGTAGATAAAGCACCATATGAATTGGAGCATTTGCTTACAAAAGCAGGATTTACAAATCCGATGGTAATTATCCGTAATATGCCACTAAATCACGGCGAACATGGCAAATTATATTGGTAATAGCATATTACAATCCGGTAACCTTAACATTTTTTAACTTTGAGCCTCCTACAGGAAGTGCATGAGAGCCGCATACGAAATACTTAGACCTCAGTTTGCTCAAGTGTATCCGGAATGGAATGAAGTATCGTTTTTTGAAGACTTTTTAAATTCTGCCGAAGAAGAATGCTCTGATACTAAATGTTATTATGAGTGGAAAATATGCTATGCACAGAAATGAGATTATGTCTGACAACTAAATTGTTAAATCTTTAAAAATAATAAATTTTAGGCCGAATTATCGAAATTCGGCTCAAAGACACTTGATCTCAGGATTTTTATTTTCATATGGATCTGACGTGATATTAAATCTATCAATTACTAGTGAGTTTCAGAAATATAAACACTTTCTTCATTTAAACGCTACTCTTCCCGAAAAGAAATAATAGATATAAATAAAATCACTTCTGTCAATTAATTAATTAATAAATGATTTAAACTTGCACTTTTGTAACTTAACCAAAAAGAAAGCCAATATAAGCAAAGAATAGAAATACATTTATATATGTGAGACCATCATTTTTTTTTTTTAGAAAACGTAACTATCAATCATGTATCGGAGCTATTCCAAGTTTCTATCTCCAAATAGATTATTCCAAAGAGGTTGTTCATCCAAAATTAAGACGGCAACCAACCATACACTTTACGCATTTTTGAAATAGTCAGGGTAAACATCGCATCATCGTAGCTTATAAATTTGACCCGTTTCGAAGATTTAGATATCAAAAATTAATAGGAAAGAGTACAATGTCTTACAGCTTGATTCAACAAGTTCAAGCGTACAAGATTTATGGGTATGAATAAACATAATCAAGTGTGTACAAACTTTTGGACAATTTCTTTAGTTCAAACCATTTATAACTGTGGATAAATCTGGTTTTACACAGAAAAATAAAAATAAAAAGCAGGTATAAATTTAAGATTCATAATGCTTGGAGGCTTGTATTCCTATTATTAGGGCAGAATAGTGTAGTTGTCGGAATCTGTGGTTCTAACAATACATAATTATTGGTGAAGTTACCATTGGTTGATAGAATACCTATCCGATGGTGCTTTAAATTTAAGCATTCGTTGCTTGATGATTGCATTGGTTCGTCAGATTTGAGAAAACGTTAATTATTGGTAATCCTAAGTTTCTTATATGTTCCCAAGTAGTAGCTCATCCTTGATATTCTTTCCATATACTATTGTTTTTATAATAGTTAATTTAATCATGTGGCTTAATGACTACGTATTTTATTTATTATTAATACTGGTGCAATTTTAGCACAATAGCATAGCGATTATTTTTTTATAACTGATTAGAGCCTAAATGAAACACGGGAAAAAATGACATAAGAGTTGGCGAAAGCCTTTTATTATGCGTATATATAATGATAAAGTTATAGATGCGAGAAAAATGAGAGTCGTTAATGTTGGCGACAGTGAGGGGATTTTTACAATGCGAAATTATGCGGCGATTAGTACAACTATGCGGAAGCTTGAACTGGTATTCCAGCAAGCAGGTGATCATGTGTCAAGATTTTTTCAAGTACGTTGTGATGAGAATTGTCAGTCAACTTAGCGGTATGATATTTACGCAAGAGAATATCAACTTCCTCTAAGTTCAATGCTTTGACATCAGCAAGCTGCTTGATCTTTTGTGTGATTTTTTTAGCATCTTCATCAGTCAATATTTCCAGTTGTAATTGTTCCATTCTACTCTTGACGGCATTCCATCCAGTCAGACGATGACCAATGCTGACATAACGAGACATTCCAAAATCATCGGGACGAAGGATTTCATAGGTAGAAGGGTTGTTAAGGATAGCCTTGGCATGTATACCAGCCTTGTGTGTAAAAGCGCAATAACCAGTGATGTAATTGTTAAAAGGAACTGTGATTTCAACAGATTCAGCAACAATATTTTCAACTTCACGAAGAGCCTTCACATTATACTTGTTCAATACATATTCACGATCACCTACGTACATGCGAGCCAGAAATCCACCCAAAGAAGGAATACCATTTCGCTCACCAATACCTAAAACGCAAGTGTCTATATGAGTAGCACCCGCCTCAAGAGCCGTAAAAGCATTAGCAATTGCACAACCAGTATCGTCATGGAAATGACATTCGATGTCGCATTTTACAACACTACGAAGAGTTTTTACAAGTTCATATACTTGACGAGGGTTAGCGCAGCCAACAGTATCAGCAATACCGACGCGGTTGACACCAAGGCGATCTACTGTTTGATAAATAGCTAATAAATCTACCAAATCGGAACGGAAAGAGTCTTCAGTAGAGAAACGAACTTCAAGACCCTTGCTCTTAATGAACGTGATGACTTCAATAGCAGCATTGGTAATATATTCCATGCTTTTACCATGAGAGAACTCACGGAGAAAGGAAGATGTACCAATAACAACGTTTACACCATCAACACCAGTCTCAACAGCTAAGCGGGCATCATTCATATGACATCGAATATGAGTAAGAATTTTGGCTTTTAAACCAAGAGCGGAGATGGCTTTACAATCATTGAAGGATTGTTCAGAAGCGGCGGGAGAGGTTAATTCAATATAATCGACCCCAACAGAATCGAGCGCAATAGCAATTTCTATAAAAATTATGTTTAGACTTTTGAATGAAAGATGAAATATAATAAACTTACCAATCTTCTTTTGGGTGGTGAAAAAGGCATTAGCGAATTGCTCTCCCTCTAAAAATATATGCAAAATTAGAATTTCTTAAATCAAATGACAACGGAAGTATTTGCAAACCTCTTAGTGTAGAGTCAATAATTTGGAAACTCGATACATTTGACATAGGATCAAACTTATTGGAATAAGGGGAAGTGACGGGTTCGCGAAGAGGACTTAGGTCAATATTATTGTTGTTATCTCTGGGAGCCATGATTACGGAGAACTTCTGTATAAACTAAAAAAGTAAAGAAAAAATGATTAGTTAGTTTGAACCCCTCTTTATATATAAATAATAATTATGCATTCCCAGAATGTTAATCGATCTATTGTTAACATTGATTATCTTGTCTCGCCTGCCTTAATAGGACTTTTTCGAGAAATCAATAGTCACATCTCTGCGGATGGCCCTTTCAATTAAGGTTCTTTGATCTTTTTTTATTTTCCTAATATGGCGACGGGTCTCTGACACTGGGTTTCCCCACCTTTTTTTTCAATCAGTTGGCATTATATTCTGGACAAATTGGCCTCACACATATATCGAAAGGTTGGTCAAAATTCTCGAAAATCTGGTGGAAATACAGTGATAGGGCCTTGAGATGTTTACATAGAGTACGGTATCCAAGCTATACATATGATAGCCTAAAAGCGATTTTAAGCGTACGAATATTCTCACGTGAAAATTTACGTCGAGATTCAAACAGACTCACATCTCAAATACAAGAAATGTATTTCCTAACACTTCCAAAGTGCCGAAATAGGTTCCACATTCAGACTGAAACCTATACCCTAATTCCTATCCAATTTTCATGGGAGATAATTACCTGACACGTAGGCCCGTATAATATTTGAGCGCTGCTTTAGACTGATATTTCATAATATAAATCCTTTCACCCTCAATGAGCCCAGTTTCTTAAATTTCGTTCCGCATTTCGGGCTTTTCTTTTACTAGAGTCGTTTTCACTTCACGAGACAATTATTAGTTTCCTGTCTGCTAATTTGATATTTCATTTAAATTTTTAAAACATTGCCTTTCATTGGCTCTTTGTCTGGTTATGCCGATTCAATATTAGTTTTTTCTCTCTCTTTAAACTTGCGAGCTCTGCTAAGTAGCCTCGCTCTTCGAGACTAAAACTGATCATAAAAGATTTTCTTTAACTTTGTAGAAAAACAGAGGGCTGCTTATTTAACCATGTCGATTATATGGTGAACAAGAACTCGCATTTTGCAGCACAACCACGACTGCCGTTTTCTGGTCCTGAAATTAAAATATCGCCAACCAGTCGCGCTCTTTATTCAACCCGAATTTGACACTTTCATATTTTTTTTTATTTTCTGTGTATTTTTATTTTTCTGAATGCTTGGACACAGTTACGAAAAATTAGACAACCATCAACAGAAATCGCGGAAGCTTGGAAGGCATATTAATGACAAGAAAACGTTTCAACTTTTTCGTAATGTCGTTTACGAGGTGGATGATCGCATGCCTGAATTCACAAAAATGAGAGTAAGTAACATGGAATTGTGCGAGAATTTTGGCCAACGTAGTATGTTAGATAAGAAACTTATTGAAGAAAAATGGAGGGATATGTGGAAATTATGCATTTGATCCAAACGAAATAACAGATAGCCAGAGGTATCCCCACGACATTGTGCCTAATTTATATGTTTCTCAGGATAGAACATATCCTTATAAACAATATGGCGTAGTAGAGTCTGTCACTGTAAGTATATGGATCTAAACGCAAGTACTTGTCATTTATTGATTGGTTTTCGCAGCCATTGTGGGTTGAAAATGCAGTAACCAATGGATTCGTTCATAAGTAAAGATGATTTTTCCAACCTTAGTATACAATGATCTTAATCAATGTTTGCCTTCAGCTTAGAAAATTATTCGCCCGTGCTAAATCAATTTTTGTCCGGTGTTGTGTTACTATTATTGGATGTAAGTTGTTGGATGAAGCTTTGCTTGTACGATTATTACGACTTACCATTTCCAATAGTTACCAGAACGTGATTGCGACTCGGTCACAAATGAATTGAACCGGTTTGGAGGCCAGTATCGAGACGATGTTACTGAAGACCTAACACATATGATATGTCTCGAACCAAGAGGGGTACAATGAAATATTAGCCCATAGAAATCGTCTTATTAATAGATATTTTCTTCTCTATGCAGGCTCAGTATAATCAATGCATCGAACAAAACATTCCTGTTGTGTTACCGCAATGGCTTGATGATTGTTTTCGGCTGAAGAAACGATTAGATACGAAGCTCTATCAGTACCCAGATCCCATCGTCTTCTATGAAACCAACCCAACACCCGCCAAATTATATCCATATCATGACCTCGCCATGATATCTTCTGGTGGGGACCACAATAGGGTATTCGAAGACGAAGTACTTTATTTCGGACATGATTTAAATATAAAGGAAGATTTTAAAGTCGCATTAACTGAAGCCATTGCGAGAGCAGGTGGCACGGTTGTAGACCAATACAATTATCAGAAGGTGACAATCGTTATATTAAAGGATCGAGGTACACAGGAATTCAGAATGGTCTCAAAAGACGCAAAGTTAGTTGCAAGTTTATGGTGGCTTACAAACACATTGTTAAGAGGTTACTGTAATTCACCGTTATGTACTTTACTGGATTATCCAACGCCACCAGGAGGAATGCCAGAGATGAATGATTGTGTATGTCTAAAAGAACATGCTTCACGTAAACATACATATATTAACCCACGATAAAATAATAGGTCATAACTATCGCAGGGTATGGAAATGTTACTAGATTTTATCTACGTCGCCTCGTAACTGCATTAGGAGCGAAATATGACCCGGCCTTAAATTCAGAAACAACACATCTGATATGTGGAAGGTAAGCCCCTCCTGCGTGCTAATTGCCTTAGTTGTGAACTGATATTTTACCGAAAATACAGAATGATAAGCGATAAATATTCAAAAGCTGTCAGTTTGCCTAATGTCACTATTGTAAATCATCTTTGGTTAGAAGAATGCTATCAACAATGGAAAATCATGGATCCCAATGCAGATCGTCGATACAGATTTATACCTAATCAAAAGCCAATATTAGATGCGACGGCTGCGCGTACCCATTTGTTGATAATTGAATTAGAGCGTTGGATAGACCCAAGGACGATGCCTGAACATACCGTATCAAGAGCTCGTCAGGTGATATCAAAAAATGATATTCAAGGTTCGGTACATGTTAGGAAGCGTCGTGAGGCTGCTATACAGGCTACACGTCTACTGAATGACATTGTAATTCCAGATGCAAATGCATATGAAAAGGAAGCAAAAAGAAAGAGGTCCCATTAATCAGTCTATGGTTTCCAATAAACCGACCTTTATTTTTCAAAAACTTTTTCTAAAAAATGTTTTTTCTTTTTTTTATTACAATTTTTTTTTCTTTTTTTTTTTACATTTTAACCCATCTCTATGACTGCCAAGGTTGCTGTGCTTGTTGATAATAGTCAGCTCCAGCGGTCGGTTGAGCTTGTTGCTGTTGAGGATACGCATAACCATAGCCTTGTGCTGGTGTGTCAAAGCGAGGTTGTTTTGCATATGGGTAAGCAGCAGTTTCTTCAGCAGGGCGTTTGGAAATAGGTTGGCTCTCTGAAGGAAAATCGGTCGATACAGGTGAAGGGTTTCTGTTGAGTGTATGGATAGAATAATTACGTTCCAATAGATATTCTCTAAATTTGGTATTAATTTCCTTTTGTGAATCTTTGCTTAAATGAGTACGAGCTTTTTCAAATACTTGTAAAATACGTTCCTCTGACGATTGATCTAAGTAAAATCCATACATTAGATAAATAGTTACTCCTGATCACCTTATGTCTTTTTCCTTACCGTAAAAACCGAGTTCAAAATTAATGTAATTTACCCAAAAGAATTTACTTGTATGGTATAGATTAGATGATGTCACATAGGTTTCTCTAGCTTTGTCAACTTGATTATTCTATTTTATAGAAGGTTAATAATGTCAATTTTTTCTTTTTTTTAAAAAAAAAGATAATCTTACCTGTTGCAAAAATCTAATGAATTGAATTGTGAAGAAAACTTTAGCAGATTCATCCATTTGGTTGGAACTAATAAAGGTTTTGATACTATTTTCAAAGGCACTAGGGTCCTGTCTTCTCTCGAAATGCAGATAATTTAAGATTGTCTCCACATGATTAGGTGCTAGGATAACATGTTTTAGGATGTGTACTTTATCTTTAAAGTAAATATAAAACTTACTGGATCCTAAAATATTTGTGTATATCTTTTTGGCCTCTTCGAAGCTCCCTTCTTCTTCCAAAATTAAAGCGAGTGCAATTTTGGCATTGCATCGATCCTGAGGTAAGAATTTAAACGCAGCTCTTTCATAGGCATGTCTTGCATCAGCCAAAAGATCGTTTTTCGTTAACCATTGACCATAACGTAGCCAAAATTCTTCGTATTGGGCCTATGTATTGAAAGAAGAATAGGAAAATTACATCAGAAAACAGTACTGGGCCTCCTTATAATGATAGATATTTACACATGGCACCAGACAACGTTCGTAAAGTGCACGGATACGTGACACATCTTTCAGATTTTCCTCAAAATCAAGATATTTGCTCCAATTTTGAAGTTGAGGTCTGTCTAAAGGTTTGACATGGAAATAAGGTCGTTTGATTTCGGCTTCGTAAACCCAGCGCTTATTCGTTCCATCTTGCGTCTTTTTATACACAGCTAACGTCTGAGCGTTGACTTTCTCTTTCAACAGAACATCCATTTCATCTTGTGTCATCGAAGTTCCATTTTCTTCCTGAATCTCTTTATAAAAGGTCTCCAATGTGAGCTGATCTAAATCTTCTTTGATATTCATATTGGCACGAATGCCACGCCATTTTTCATAGTAACGAGCATACTGATGCATTGGAATTAAAACAATATCGTCCAAGAGTAACAATAGACGCTTGGGATCGACAAGTCGAGTCTCTACAAATTCAATATATTTGTCCCAGAATGGATGTGCAAGGAAGTCCAAGCCTACACAAGAAGCTGCGCGTTTAAACAAGCTAAAAAAAAAATTAGGGAGTGTTAATATTTAAATTACGCATCAGCAAATATTAACTGTACGTTTCGATGTCATCGTTAGACGTTGTTTGTGTCATTTTGAAGTCGATGTATTGATTCCAAAGGTCAATTGAGTTTGTTATAGCCACAACTCCTCTTTCGAATATCTAATGAAAGAAAATACATTAGGAGAGCCCTTTTCCTGATATTGTTATAGGGGTATTACCTTTTCCGCATTTTCGGGTCCATGCACCGTTAATTCCCAATCTGAATATTTTTTCCAGTAGCCAAAGCAAAGTGGGAACTTTGATAGAAAGCTATCGTACACACTTTCTAAACGAGTGATTTTTTCCGGTGGGGAAGATTTACTAATGCCTCCTTCTTCTGCTACTCGAATCAGTTGTTCCCAGCAACCAAAGTTGTCAGGCGCATCACGTACAGTTTTCCAAAGGCGATCCCATTCTGTCGTACTAGTCATAGACTCAGTGTTAATAGACATTTTGTTCGCGTCAAATAAAGAGTAAGGAAGAAAAAAGAATAGGGCAGATAAATTGTAATATTTTTTAACCCGTCCGAAAAAATATTCAAACATGGTGCTTTCTTGATACACCACAAATAGGACGATTCTTAATACAGCCTTATTTGCTTGACAATTATTTATTCGTGGATTCCAAAGCCTTTAGATGTATTTTAAGACGCTCCTCAAACTCCCCTGTTACTTTATACTGGTGCACGTAATGTTGACGGCCATCTATGATTTAAATACATGATGAAAAAATGCAAACTATGCAATGAGTGATTGGGATATAATGAGCCTACAGAGAAAGCGATAGTGCAGAAGGTTTGTAAACGTAGCCTTCGATTGATACAACATAATGAGCCTTATAGTTGTCCACTGTAATGATTTAAATCCTTATCTGTTGTGATCATTCAGATATTCATGTCATTTAGAGAAAAAGATTCGCTCTTCTTGAGGTCTATGTCTTGTGCAGTAATCATTTACCTGCTTCATAAAAAATGTGTACCACACAGACCCGCTTATGATGATGTCTATATATTTTGCAGTAAAAGGAACATATTGGGCATTTTCCCCACTAAAGCATATATTACATTTTGTTGCACACTTACTAACGAATTCGAACAAAAGAAATTCATCTGGCTGTAAATTTACTCTAGCAACAAACGGCATATCATTCTGGATAACAGACAAAACGAATGAGTGATCAACAATAAGTAACGTACTCAAATTATGCGAAAATTAACGATGAAAAAGATCAGCTTATACAACAAGCAAATATGATTTATTATAGAACCCAAGAAAAAGAACAAGCCCAAGTGCAGAAGAAAAAAAAAAGAAAAAAAATTGTGTGCGAGATAGAGAAACCACCAACCAGGATTATAACAAAATGAGCGAAGGAGATAATAAGGGATATACCATACCTGATACTAAAAAGAAAAGAATCTAAACATAATTAAAGGAAAAAAAGAAAGAAAAAAAAGGATAGTGAATAGAAAGAAAAAAGGATAGTGAATAGATAGAAAAAATGGGAGGGGGGAGGAAGGGGAAGGTTGGTGGTAAAAAAAAAAAATATACAAATGGGAACTCGTGGCGTCGCATGTATTAACATGATCCGCTCTTAAGGGTTTGATCTCAGCCGACAAAAGTCTAGCACCCCTCGATTGTCCTTATATGTACAAATAGAAAGAAAAAAAGTAATGATTTTGCCAAGCAACGCATAGCTCCCAACGTAAAAAGAGAAGAACCCCCAAAGTAGACAGAGCAAAGAAAAAGACCACAGAAAGTGACAGAGAGACAGAGAGAGAACATGTGTGTGTGTGTGTGTGCCTTTGTATGAGCCGTTTCCTTTTCCTCCTACCTTGAGAACCAGAGGCGAAGCAGGACTTGTAGGATATTTATTAGACGGGCAGGATAGAAAGAAATAAAAAAAAAAAGGTTAGTAAATATGGAAGTTATACTTGTATACCTAGAGACAAATCTAGATAGGATTAAACATGCGGTCAATTTCTTCAAGGGTTTTTCCTTTGGTTTCCGGGAGGAAGAAACTACCAATAAACAAGATGGAGCAACAGGCACCAAAGAAGTAGTAACCTCCAAAGATGGTGTTGGTCATAAAAATCGGCATAATAAAGGTCATAAAGATACCAACAGCCCAGTTGAGACCGTATGCAAGAGCAATGGTTTTGGCACGATTACGGGTATTGGAAATTTCGGCTGGATAAATGTAAGCAACAGGTCCCCAGCTATAAGCATAAGCAGCCTGGAAAATGAACACAAAAGCAATAACTGTGGCACATGCATGGACATTGGTAAGACTGACAGTACCATCATCATCAACGACATTATACGCTTGGAATAGTGCGCCAACAATAAACATGGATCCACCCATGATACCAGCACCAGTTGAAAAGATATGGCGACGGCCCAACTTGTCAATAAAATACAAAGTTAAAAGAGTCACAACCAATACAAGAATATTACTAGCTCCACTGGTAGCAATCGAGATTGAATTGCTACCAACACCGGCCTGCATAAAGATACGTGGGGAGTAGTAGGAAATGGAATACGTTCCAGTGAAAGCAGCACCATTTCCAGTGAAAAGAGCAAACAAGGTACGCTTTAAATTTGTGCCACGGAAACATTCGATATAAGTACGATTACCAAATGAACGTTCGACTGTGATTTCTTCGCAAATCATGTTGTATTCTTTCAAAACCTCGGGATCTTGTACAGTAGATTCATGGAGTAAAGCAATTACATTTAAGGCTTCTTCTTTGCGACCTTTGTCAACAAGCCAACGTGGAGAAAAGGGTAAGAAATAGACGCATGCCAAAAGAACGCAGATGATCAGTTGAATAAGAAAAGGAATACGCCATGCCCAGTCATTATCCATATATGAAGTACCAAAGTTAACAAAGTAGCCAACTATAGTACCAACAGAAGCCATGGCACTGAACAATGTAATCAATCTACCGCGGATATCTGGTGGGGCAATTTCAGTGTGATACAATGGAATTGCGTTCGTCAGATAACCTTCACCGAAACCGACAAAAACACGACCGGCCATTAACATGCCAAAATTATAGCCAATGGTTTCTAAAAGAGCACCGATCGCAAAAGCAGCAGTACCGAGAAGGATGGTATACTTACGTCCGATAGCGTCTAAATGGAGTTAGTAACATTGCTTACAAATAAGACCATGCTTTTTTATTTTTACCACAGATATTGCCAGATGATAGTCCACCGATAGTAGCAGTTAGTAACATGATGGCAACTAATAATGCTTCACGATACTCGGCATCTTGATTTAAGAAACGATCCATAAAAGGAACGAGCGACATGGTACCAGAAATAGCACCTGTATCAAACCCAATGACAAATCCACCGCCTGCAGCTATAAGACCGGCCATATAGAGTGATTTTCGGCCATTTCGATGGATTACTGTACTTGTTATGATTGACTCATTGTCAAAATCCTTAACAATCTTTTCTGACATGTTGTTTATTGAAAGAAAAAGAAAGATATCTAAATTAAAAAACTTTTCTGTTTTTATATTACAGATCCCGGAGGATAACGCTACAGGATGAAAAGTCACATCTACGTTTTTTTTTTCTTTTTTTTTTTCTGCTGATTGTTTAAAATGACATCAATGACGTCCCGTTACTGGAAAAAAAAATTGTGTTTCTAAATTATGTTGTCATTCCGGTTTCTTTATTATTTAAAACAAACAAAAAAAATTACTCGTTGCAAAAAGAATTCCCGCGTAGATTGTTCCGTGCAAAGAAAGTTACACAGACTCTTAATTATATATGATTGGCTTCACAGATCTCAAACTAAAAAGATCTTGGAAACACATCCAGTTTATGGTCCCTCATCAAATATGCTGCTTCAAGCGGAACAGCGACTCGACTTTCCAAGTACACACTGTATGTAAATACGCTTCTTATGAGGGTAATGGGTGTCCGTAGGGACATGCTGGTATCGGGTGACTGGCAGTCCGGAAGAAGCTACGCTGATATACAGTCGTTCCAACGCCAAAAGGCGGCTTTTTAAATGAAAAGGCGGTTAATAAATAATTTTAAAGGGCGGCTTTTCAATTCCCGGCCTTAGGCTTATGGGAGGGGACTGGAGAGCCAATAAAAACTTGATTTTTTTGAAAATTAGCCAATCACATTGCTTCAAATAGTGTAAGCGGTATTTTAATAGTGTAAGCGGATTTTAAATAACTCTAAATAGTGTAAGCGCGTGGCTGTACGGCCAGTTGGACTTGAAGGGAACTCATTAATGATTTGCATATATTTTCCATATTTCATTAACCCAACCCATAGAAGTGACTCCATTAATCCAAAGATTTTTTTACAATTGATGATCAAATATGTTTAATTTATCTGTAAAAACAGCTTATATGGTTTTAATGCATATCCAAAAAATGGGATTTTTTTCAACGATTTGACCTTAGTATCCATTGACGTCCCACAACAATTAAACTTATGAAATAAAACGAATTTTATGTTTTTTTAAAAAAAAAGCACTTCACAAATGTGTAATACAATACATTATGGGTTCAGATACCGCCAGGGGTCTACACATCTATAAAACTAGAGGATTTGTTGTTCAGATTTAGTTTATACAACATTCAAATGTCAGATAGTAGCGAAAAAAGTAATCTCAGTAGAGTTGAAGCCAGTATCAAAAATAGGAGAGGACGGCCAACTGGACAAACAAATAAGGAAGGACACAATGCTGGTCGCAAACGCAAACAAATTGTTAATCAATCCTTTATGACAAATTTTTTGACAAAGACCCCCGAGGAGACGGTACAATCTGAAGCCTCCACATCAGCTGCAGCAGATAATGAGCATATTTTATTTGGTAACACTGAACAGGTATGAAAAACTCGCAAATTATGCTTATACAATTGTTGTTGAAAAATTAAGCTTCTTGGCCTCAGCTAAATGCAGCTGGTATTGAAGAAGACACACATAATATTACTGCTTCTTTAAGTTCCGAGGGAGTTGAAGAAACTGAAGATGATTCAAATGAGGATGGAGTCGAAGAAACTGAAACTGATTCCGATGAGTTCGAGGAATTGAATGAGGAAGCATTTAACATCCTAGACGAGTTTGCTTCTTCATTACCTTCTGACAGTGAAGTTGCTAAATACCACGAAGCTCTTCAGCAAAGATTGGGAGGAAACAACAAAAACAAGAGTCACCCCCCTGATGAATATAAAAGAGGGACATTTTGGACACAGACGCGGAACCCTTCTTTTATTTTGGCGAAGGCTGCAGATCCGTCGGAGCTGTACCACCCAAGAACGTTCATTTGGCTACCTGACCATTTGCATGATAACTTGGTGTGCCCTTCTTGTAAATCTGGTATCGAATCAAAAGGATTTGACAAAAAAACAAAAGCAAGAAGAATTATTGATCTGAAAGAGTATGTGTGTGCCCAATTGTCTTGTACAACAACTTAAAATGTTGACATTCCCATATGTAATTTTGGAAAATTGACGCATTAATTTTATAGTTGTTTCTACATAATGACACGACGTTACAGATGTAAGAATGCTACCAAGCAGCATTTTTTTAACGGATTCGACTCTAGAATTATCAGACAGCTCCCGTTGCGTGTTCAAGCGGATTTTCCTGCTCTTTTAACTCATAAGTCTGGGATATCCAAAGATTTAGCCAAGTTGATGCGTCCATTGTTCCAAAATTCCGTAGGTCCTGTGAGATTATCGAAAATTTTAAGAGAATTGCATGCGGAGCATCATGCTACTCTCGAATTACAGTATTATGATGCTGCTTGCAGCGAGAAAAAAAATCCCAGCATCGATTCATTGTTAACGAGAAACGTACAACAAAAATTGTTACCAGAATTCTCTGAATTCTCTAACAAAGAATTATACAATGGTTTTGTGCCTTCTCCTGGATATTTAAGTTACGTCTACTCGTCAATCATTGAGCAGATACGTCCTCAGTTAGACTGGCATATGATGTCTTTAGACGGTGACATTCTTAAAGGCGATCATTCTTTCAAGGTTACGGGCCATATGGGAAAGCTAAATGGAGAAACAACCTTTACAGCATTGTATACTTGCTTGAATGAATACGAGGAAATAAGAATGCAAGTACTAACTCCATCAAAAGCACTTTCTCATCTCGCTTTACCGTTTAATGCCATGGTGCAATCTTACAATCTTAATGGCTATCGATTACCTTCACTTTTTTACACTGACAATGTAAACAGCGATAGAAATTTTTTGGAAGGTGTACTACCAAGCTTGTTGAAAAATGTAGACAAGACAATTATATCTAGATCTACAAACAATGAAGTGGATTTTAGCTCTAACTATGGTTCAACACATTTACCTGTCTTGACACTCCCGGGTACAATGAGTATATCTGTATGCTCCAATTTGGAAGATATCAACAATGCATGTCAAATTATTTTGGAAGACGTAGAACAAAACATGTATGTGAACATTGGATTTGACTGTGAGTGGATAGCCAGAAATAATAGCTCTTTTTATTCCGGATTAAGAAGAACTCCATCCTCTCTGAATGAAGTATCTCTTATTCAAATTTGTTACAAAGACAAAATATATTTGCTTCGTACATTTGAGTATACGGCGGAGGACTATCCTGAAAAGTTGAAACACCTTTTGGAGTGCGAAAATGTCAAGAAAATCGGTAAAAATGTAACTGGTGATTTTACTCGCTTACAAAAAGGGTATCAAATAAACCCCAAAGGTTTGATTGAGTTGGGTTCAGTCTGTAAAGATAAAGGTGTCATAGAAAAAAAATCCTTCTCTTTGGCAAAAATATGTGCTATTGTTCTGAAAGCATCATTACCAAAACCCAATAACATCAGGTGTGGAAATTGGAATTCTCCAGAGTTAACACAAGAACAAGTACTTTACGCTGCGTTGGATGCATATGTTGGTATTGCTATATTTAACAGCTTGATTGATTGCCCTCCAGTAAACAAAAATGTCAATCCATTGACTTCCAAGAACACGCTTGTTGCATTATATACAAATTCATGCAAGGTCTTCCCATGTGCCTTTGGGTATTTAAAGGTTTTAGACGAAGAGATAAACGAATTGAATCCAGTGACAAAGGACTATTTTGAAAAAAATAGATCCAGTTTAGATAATAATCAACAAGCTCTAGTCAAGATTATTGAGGTCAAAATACCAGGTACAATCATATCAAATTACGAAAAGAATCAAATTGAGCCTGTATGTTTACAAGATTTTGGATCAACACCATTTCACATCTTTGTCGATTGGAATATCTTAAAAACAGCATCTGAAATCCAAATTTTAGCCTCATCTGCTGATCATATGCAAAATAACTCTAATGATTTGCTAACCATGCCTACTCTTATCAGCAAAACAACTGATCAGTCATCTGAAGACTCATTTATACCCTCTCGAGTATTAAAAGACGCTTTTCATTTAATGGACATGCTACCACTGTCGCAAAAACATGGTATGTATAGAGACTTTTATCAGCGCTTCAGAGATGCTTTGTTTGTGTACGATCCAGTCGACAAAAAGAATGTCGAAGATTATTTGAAGACTATCAACACAGACTTTAATAATTACATGGGAAGTCACTCAGATTTTATTCTTAGACGGGTCAAAAGAAAAATACCACCTCCAAACCAATTGCTGCCCGCTGTTAAACTTTTATTTGATCACTATGGGCCTTTACCATGCGCTAAAACAGGATCTCCGCTCTTTGACCAAGAATGTAAAAGGATTGCTAAAAACATCCTTAAATCAATTGAGTTAGGTCATGTTTCTGACATAGAAAATGGGCCACCATTATATAGAGAGTTAGGAAAAGACAAGAATGGCCTTATGACATATGGTTGTTCTAGAGGTACTAGTTCGGTTGAAGGATACCACCAAGCTATTATAAGAAAATTTTCTTCAATTAACGCTGGTCCTCGTCTTACGGATTCAGTTTTAGCTGATTATAGGTTATACCATAATATTGAGGTACTTTAGTTTGTTCTTAACAAAAATTTATCTTCGATATTAACATAGTATAACTCATAGGTTGGTGCTAGAAATAGGGAAGGCATAACACATAAAAGTCATTTCAGTCCTTGGGTCACTCAATGCATAAACATGATGAGACTCTATATTGGCCACAATACTGTGAAGAATTATATTATTCATCATATTGAAAAACTTCCTGTCGATTTTACGGGTCAATCAGTAGAAACGTTCGGTATAACAGCTTTAAGTCTGCCTTTTTTAACAACACTTGATATGAAACCAAAATTAGAAAACGAGGCTAATAACCACCTTTCCAACGAAATGGTTGAGAAGAGATTGCTTCAATTAAGCTTTTTACCCATTGTTAATTTTCAAAAGCAAGGCTACTCATCTCAAAACTTCATATACAGATACTTAGCAAACAGGCAAAATACTCTCTTTGCAGTAGTACCGGTTCATACCAAAGAAGAAATACTGTTGTATGACAAGCTTGTTTCAACTCACAAAAAAGATTTGTATGTCAACATAAACAGCAGCATCCCTGATTTTGATTCTTTCGCTAAGATATGGTCTTCGTTTGCTGATGGTGTCAAAATATTTTACAAAACACCGGAGCATCTAAAACTTTACTTTAACAAAAGATTAGAAGCTGGTGTGTTCTACAATACAATCTTACTGAACGAGAATATTCATAACAATATAAGAGATGCGTTACTTCAGTCCAACAGGATAACAACCCCTATTGCATCCATAAAAGCTCCTACACCTATTGAACATTATTCTGGTCATCAAAGAAGACTGCTTCCAAACGATCACTCTTCTTTGACAATTCAACGCCATGAGCGGCAATTAATACCCTCACCCGCACCTATTGCAATCTCACCACCAATAGTATCAGCTTTGACAATTAACAATACGCCATCCGCTCTTCTCTTGCCTCGCGATCAACCTCCCACTGATGTTAGCCCAACGGATGTGAACCCTCGACCAAAAAAGATAAAGCGATCAAGCAGAACTTGTTTTGTTTGCATGGACACAGTTTCTTGCAGTGGTCGATCAAAGCCCAAGCTATGCATAAATAAATGTGGATTATGTAATATCGATAATTGTCCTGGACGGTACAGAAGCATACCCTGTCCATTTATCAACAATCCCTAGAATAATTGTGAAACCCCCACTAACCAACCAAACAATTTTTTTTTGAAAAAACAGCTAATCTACTATAAAATCTTTTTTTTTTCTTTACTTTTTATAATAAAAACAACACTTAAAACCTCTTTTTCGCAAAATTTTTGGGTGCCACGTGGCACCCAAAAATAAAAGAATTAAATCATTTTTCAAAAACGGTCCCCACCTATGGGTATAAGGCCATTCCCGGCCTTAGGCTTATGGGAGGGGACTGGAGAGCCAATAAAAACTTGATTTTTTTGAAAATTAGCCAATCACATTGCTTCAAATAGTGTAAGCGGTATTTTAATAGTGTAAGCGGATTTTAAATAACTCTAAATAGTGTAAGCGCGTGGCTGTACGGCCAGTTGGACTTGAAGGGAACTCATTAATGATTTGCATATATTTTCCATATTTCATTAACCCAACCCATAGAAGTGACTCCATTAATCCAAAGATTTTTTTACAATTGATGATCAAATATGTTTAATTTATCTGTAAAAACAGCTTATATGGTTTTAATGCATATCCAAAAAATGGGATTTTTTTCAACGATTTGACCTTAGTATCCATTGACGTCCCACAACAATTAAACTTATGAAATAAAACGAATTTTATGTTTTTTTAAAAAAAAAGCACTTCACAAATGTGTAATACAATACATTATGGGTTCAGATACCGCCAGGGGTCTACACATCTATAAAACTAGAGGATTTGTTGTTCAGATTTAGTTTATACAACATTCAAATGTCAGATAGTAGCGAAAAAAGTAATCTCAGTAGAGTTGAAGCCAGTATCAAAAATAGGAGAGGACGGCCAACTGGACAAACAAATAAGGAAGGACACAATGCTGGTCGCAAACGCAAACAAATTGTTAATCAATCCTTTATGACAAATTTTTTGACAAAGACCCCCGAGGAGACGGTACAATCTGAAGCCTCCACATCAGCTGCAGCAGATAATGAGCATATTTTATTTGGTAACACTGAACAGGTATGAAAAACTCGCAAATTATGCTTATACAATTGTTGTTGAAAAATTAAGCTTCTTGGCCTCAGCTAAATGCAGCTGGTATTGAAGAAGACACACATAATATTACTGCTTCTTTAAGTTCCGAGGGAGTTGAAGAAACTGAAGATGATTCAAATGAGGATGGAGTCGAAGAAACTGAAACTGATTCCGATGAGTTCGAGGAATTGAATGAGGAAGCATTTAACATCCTAGACGAGTTTGCTTCTTCATTACCTTCTGACAGTGAAGTTGCTAAATACCACGAAGCTCTTCAGCAAAGATTGGGAGGAAACAACAAAAACAAGAGTCACCCCCCTGATGAATATAAAAGAGGGACATTTTGGACACAGACGCGGAACCCTTCTTTTATTTTGGCGAAGGCTGCAGATCCGTCGGAGCTGTACCACCCAAGAACGTTCATTTGGCTACCTGACCATTTGCATGATAACTTGGTGTGCCCTTCTTGTAAATCTGGTATCGAATCAAAAGGATTTGACAAAAAAACAAAAGCAAGAAGAATTATTGATCTGAAAGAGTATGTGTGTGCCCAATTGTCTTGTACAACAACTTAAAATGTTGACATTCCCATATGTAATTTTGGAAAATTGACGCATTAATTTTATAGTTGTTTCTACATAATGACACGACGTTACAGATGTAAGAATGCTACCAAGCAGCATTTTTTTAACGGATTCGACTCTAGAATTATCAGACAGCTCCCGTTGCGTGTTCAAGCGGATTTTCCTGCTCTTTTAACTCATAAGTCTGGGATATCCAAAGATTTAGCCAAGTTGATGCGTCCATTGTTCCAAAATTCCGTAGGTCCTGTGAGATTATCGAAAATTTTAAGAGAATTGCATGCGGAGCATCATGCTACTCTCGAATTACAGTATTATGATGCTGCTTGCAGCGAGAAAAAAAATCCCAGCATCGATTCATTGTTAACGAGAAACGTACAACAAAAATTGTTACCAGAATTCTCTGAATTCTCTAACAAAGAATTATACAATGGTTTTGTGCCTTCTCCTGGATATTTAAGTTACGTCTACTCGTCAATCATTGAGCAGATACGTCCTCAGTTAGACTGGCATATGATGTCTTTAGACGGTGACATTCTTAAAGGCGATCATTCTTTCAAGGTTACGGGCCATATGGGAAAGCTAAATGGAGAAACAACCTTTACAGCATTGTATACTTGCTTGAATGAATACGAGGAAATAAGAATGCAAGTACTAACTCCATCAAAAGCACTTTCTCATCTCGCTTTACCGTTTAATGCCATGGTGCAATCTTACAATCTTAATGGCTATCGATTACCTTCACTTTTTTACACTGACAATGTAAACAGCGATAGAAATTTTTTGGAAGGTGTACTACCAAGCTTGTTGAAAAATGTAGACAAGACAATTATATCTAGATCTACAAACAATGAAGTGGATTTTAGCTCTAACTATGGTTCAACACATTTACCTGTCTTGACACTCCCGGGTACAATGAGTATATCTGTATGCTCCAATTTGGAAGATATCAACAATGCATGTCAAATTATTTTGGAAGACGTAGAACAAAACATGTATGTGAACATTGGATTTGACTGTGAGTGGATAGCCAGAAATAATAGCTCTTTTTATTCCGGATTAAGAAGAACTCCATCCTCTCTGAATGAAGTATCTCTTATTCAAATTTGTTACAAAGACAAAATATATTTGCTTCGTACATTTGAGTATACGGCGGAGGACTATCCTGAAAAGTTGAAACACCTTTTGGAGTGCGAAAATGTCAAGAAAATCGGTAAAAATGTAACTGGTGATTTTACTCGCTTACAAAAAGGGTATCAAATAAACCCCAAAGGTTTGATTGAGTTGGGTTCAGTCTGTAAAGATAAAGGTGTCATAGAAAAAAAATCCTTCTCTTTGGCAAAAATATGTGCTATTGTTCTGAAAGCATCATTACCAAAACCCAATAACATCAGGTGTGGAAATTGGAATTCTCCAGAGTTAACACAAGAACAAGTACTTTACGCTGCGTTGGATGCATATGTTGGTATTGCTATATTTAACAGCTTGATTGATTGCCCTCCAGTAAACAAAAATGTCAATCCATTGACTTCCAAGAACACGCTTGTTGCATTATATACAAATTCATGCAAGGTCTTCCCATGTGCCTTTGGGTATTTAAAGGTTTTAGACGAAGAGATAAACGAATTGAATCCAGTGACAAAGGACTATTTTGAAAAAAATAGATCCAGTTTAGATAATAATCAACAAGCTCTAGTCAAGATTATTGAGGTCAAAATACCAGGTACAATCATATCAAATTACGAAAAGAATCAAATTGAGCCTGTATGTTTACAAGATTTTGGATCAACACCATTTCACATCTTTGTCGATTGGAATATCTTAAAAACAGCATCTGAAATCCAAATTTTAGCCTCATCTGCTGATCATATGCAAAATAACTCTAATGATTTGCTAACCATGCCTACTCTTATCAGCAAAACAACTGATCAGTCATCTGAAGACTCATTTATACCCTCTCGAGTATTAAAAGACGCTTTTCATTTAATGGACATGCTACCACTGTCGCAAAAACATGGTATGTATAGAGACTTTTATCAGCGCTTCAGAGATGCTTTGTTTGTGTACGATCCAGTCGACAAAAAGAATGTCGAAGATTATTTGAAGACTATCAACACAGACTTTAATAATTACATGGGAAGTCACTCAGATTTTATTCTTAGACGGGTCAAAAGAAAAATACCACCTCCAAACCAATTGCTGCCCGCTGTTAAACTTTTATTTGATCACTATGGGCCTTTACCATGCGCTAAAACAGGATCTCCGCTCTTTGACCAAGAATGTAAAAGGATTGCTAAAAACATCCTTAAATCAATTGAGTTAGGTCATGTTTCTGACATAGAAAATGGGCCACCATTATATAGAGAGTTAGGAAAAGACAAGAATGGCCTTATGACATATGGTTGTTCTAGAGGTACTAGTTCGGTTGAAGGATACCACCAAGCTATTATAAGAAAATTTTCTTCAATTAACGCTGGTCCTCGTCTTACGGATTCAGTTTTAGCTGATTATAGGTTATACCATAATATTGAGGTACTTTAGTTTGTTCTTAACAAAAATTTATCTTCGATATTAACATAGTATAACTCATAGGTTGGTGCTAGAAATAGGGAAGGCATAACACATAAAAGTCATTTCAGTCCTTGGGTCACTCAATGCATAAACATGATGAGACTCTATATTGGCCACAATACTGTGAAGAATTATATTATTCATCATATTGAAAAACTTCCTGTCGATTTTACGGGTCAATCAGTAGAAACGTTCGGTATAACAGCTTTAAGTCTGCCTTTTTTAACAACACTTGATATGAAACCAAAATTAGAAAACGAGGCTAATAACCACCTTTCCAACGAAATGGTTGAGAAGAGATTGCTTCAATTAAGCTTTTTACCCATTGTTAATTTTCAAAAGCAAGGCTACTCATCTCAAAACTTCATATACAGATACTTAGCAAACAGGCAAAATACTCTCTTTGCAGTAGTACCGGTTCATACCAAAGAAGAAATACTGTTGTATGACAAGCTTGTTTCAACTCACAAAAAAGATTTGTATGTCAACATAAACAGCAGCATCCCTGATTTTGATTCTTTCGCTAAGATATGGTCTTCGTTTGCTGATGGTGTCAAAATATTTTACAAAACACCGGAGCATCTAAAACTTTACTTTAACAAAAGATTAGAAGCTGGTGTGTTCTACAATACAATCTTACTGAACGAGAATATTCATAACAATATAAGAGATGCGTTACTTCAGTCCAACAGGATAACAACCCCTATTGCATCCATAAAAGCTCCTACACCTATTGAACATTATTCTGGTCATCAAAGAAGACTGCTTCCAAACGATCACTCTTCTTTGACAATTCAACGCCATGAGCGGCAATTAATACCCTCACCCGCACCTATTGCAATCTCACCACCAATAGTATCAGCTTTGACAATTAACAATACGCCATCCGCTCTTCTCTTGCCTCGCGATCAACCTCCCACTGATGTTAGCCCAACGGATGTGAACCCTCGACCAAAAAAGATAAAGCGATCAAGCAGAACTTGTTTTGTTTGCATGGACACAGTTTCTTGCAGTGGTCGATCAAAGCCCAAGCTATGCATAAATAAATGTGGATTATGTAATATCGATAATTGTCCTGGACGGTACAGAAGCATACCCTGTCCATTTATCAACAATCCCTAGAATAATTGTGAAACCCCCACTAACCAACCAAACAATTTTTTTTTGAAAAAACAGCTAATCTACTATAAAATCTTTTTTTTTTCTTTACTTTTTATAATAAAAACAACACTTAAAACCTCTTTTTCGCAAAATTTTTGGGTGCCACGTGGCACCCAAAAATAAAAGAATTAAATCATTTTTCAAAAACGGTCCCCACCTATGGGTATAAGGCCCAATTCCCAAAAGGCGGCTTTTTTTTATTTAAGGGCGGTTTTTTTTCAACCCAAAAGGCGCCTTTCAATTTTTCAAATTTCGGTTTTTCACTTCAAAGTTCGTTTTATTATTTTGGAATCGAATAGCTATATCTTTATTAAAAAGCTTCATAAAGGGTCTCCGCACAAGAAGATATCAAAGTAATTAACAGAGTGTTTGTTAAATGCATTCAAATGCTCGGGAGGGACGTTATTGCAAGCTTCAGCGATACGAGTTAATAGCTAGATCTTCAGCATCTTTAAACGAACTTCGTTTTACCTTATTTTTGATAATGAACCAAAAATTCTCTATTGGGTTGAGCTCGGGAGAATAAGGAGGAAGGTAGATGCTCCTGTAACCTCTTTCAGTAATCATTTCATCAATCCGGTCAGCAGTATGAATGGGCGCGTTGTTCATCACGATATAATGGCCTTTTAGCTCTGGATACAAATCCATTTTATCCATGCACTTCTCGAGAAACCTAACGTAGTGGCCAGTTTCTGTACCCCCAGATTTTTTCTTTTTTTCAGTAGGTGCTTTTCTTTTACGACCACTGTGAACAATTTTAATTCGCTTAGAGCGTTCTTCTTGAGGATTACAAATGATCAATCAATAGTGCATTAGACGCTAGAAATTATATATTAATACCTATACATCCGCATCCAGTCATAATGTATCACATAATACTAGGACATTGCATTATAAGACAATATAAACCCTAGTAGTTCTAAAACATGATTCAGATATTTGTAATTCATATAAAAACACAACTCACTCGCATTAATAAAAATGTAACTTTGACTTTTGTTTTAATTTGAAGTTTCCTTATAATCTTAATAAATCAACAAAGTTCTATAGCAACAACAAACTTTGTCGATATGGCGCCTAATACAGTATGAGATACAGCTTTAGTGGTTGGAGTGGTCGTAATAGCGGGTGTTCCTTTTACAGACCATCCGCTAGGAGGTCTCATGTTTATATCAAATGCAGACTCGTCTACGAATACACAGTTTTCTAAGTAATTCATATCAGTATAGCAGTCCACTTGATGACCCAATTTTTACGAGTTTGGATCTTATCTGAATTATTTCTAGCAACCGGCAAGCGTGTTAACTTCTTAAAAGAAAGGTTGCACTCATCCTTAAGGAAGTTGTGGACAGCACTTTTCTTCACAGTCAGATCAGAGAATTTTTGAGTGAGTGATTCCATTGCATCAAGCACTCGTGCCTGTGGCCAATTATCGTAAAACACTAACAGGTGAACCTTATGTCTTTCATCCAATTGTGGTTTTGGTCTATTGATCAAATTGGTTTATTTCTCAAATATGTCCCAATCCTTATCCTCTTTGAGTTTCTTTTGGCCCATTTCTGTGCTGTTCTCTCGGCTATGCCGCCTGCTAAGCGCCCGGACTTAGCTGCGTTAAATAATTTAATTCGTTTGAGTATTTGTGGTGAACCCTTTTCTGCTTCTTAACTATAGCTATGACTTCCTCCATATCAGCATGAAGATTTCTCAAGGAATCTTCGGAGGAAACCCCTTCTTCCTCTTGCTTTCTACAATACTTTGTAATACCAGTCAGAGTTCTTAAGTGAAAAGGAGTAGCTTCCTCAACCTATTCCATCGCATCGTTTCCTTCCTCATCAACCAATTTTCCTTGGTCGTCTTCATAGTAAAAGCGAGTAGTTATCATATTTATTTGAAAAAAAAAGGCGCCTTTTGGGTTGAAAAAAACCGCCCTTTGGAAATATTTATTGACCTTTTGGCGTTGGAACGACTGAACAGTGCTTCCACTCTCAAATACACTCAGCCAATGAAAAGACTCAGGTAGCCAGGTAGCCTACCTAAATTCACTCAGCCAATAAAAAGCCTTAGGTAGCCTACTCAGATTGTCTACTCAAAAAAAGTCCAACCAAAAGATTCATGTCCAATCCTTTTTTATTTGTGAAAAATATCTAGGCTTTATACTCGGTTTTAAAGTAATTCCAAATGTTTTCAACTATATATTCATTTTTGTGTTTTAGACTTGCTGTTGTACTGTCAGCTACATTCCTTAAAATGCTTGCTAAATTTGTATTTCCAATAACTTGCAATGTTTCTAAATCATTTTCAAACAAACCAATTATTGACTCCAACGCTTGGTGCATTGATGTTGTCTTTTTCTTTTCTGGTTCAAGCTTTGTAAAACTCCTCTTTTTGATTTGTGGGTTCAGAGGTTGCGTATGGACAGCATCAGCAATAACTATCATGATTTTGGATCCCAAAACAGCATCATTTGTATCTTTACAGTTGCTATTAACAAACGTATATATTGTATATGGCTGTAAATTGCTAGACGCAGTAAAATCGCTGAAACATCTGGCAAGACAAAACGTGCTAATGTGAGAGAATTTTGATCTAAGTTGCCGAATGTGATTGATCGGATCCAAGCATCTTAGCGAAAGTAAAGTTTTTGGGTTCTGGGGGGAGTATGGGACGCAAGGCTGAAACTTAAAGGAATTGACGGAAGGGCACCACCAGGAGTGGAGCCTGCGGCTTAATTTGACTCAACACGGGGAAACTCACCAGGTCCAGACATAGTAAGGATTGACAGATTGAAAGCTCTTTCTAGATTCTATGGGTGGTGATCTATTGGTAGTTCGTAGTCGTCTCCTTTGGCAATGATTGTGCTACATTTTTTTACTGAGCTGGTATCTAGGTAAATTGATGTTTTGTTTGTTGGAATAAAATTTATTGTCGTAGGACCAACTTCAGGTTTCATTTTTTCGTCAATCCTTATGCTTGAAATGACTAGAAAGTTTGCCGACCGTGAACTGATTATTAATTTTTTCGAATTATCTTCATGCACTGCTGTGAATCTTAGTTCGTTTGGATAAGATGACACAAAATTTGGTATAGAGGAATGAAGACCAAAACCAATGAATTTTTCATAATGTGCATCGACAGATGGAAAACGAGAGTATGATTCGATCCCATTAATTAGTAGTGCTTCGTTTTGATTAGCAAGGATCGATCCAGCCAACAATTGCGATAACGCCAAGGATAGATAGGGTTTCGAGCGCCAAGATGTATTTAGCAACATTAACTGCTCTTCATTTACTTCCACATATTTTTTAAATGAGAGTAATTCACAATATGGGCTTGTTCTGATTATCTTGTCAATAGCCGTATACTTTTTTGGGGTATGAACGCAATCGCTGGTGTTAGATGTTGAAGCTGAAGTTGATGATGGTCCAATCAATTTCAATCTTTTATTATTGTTCTTATATTTATGAATGTGCTGTGAATCAGGAATAAAGCAAAGCATTCTTTGCTTGTCTTCATCTTCATCCTGCAAAATTAGCGGCTTCAGATTCAAACATTCAATAATTTTCTTTGAGCGTTCGTCTATTTTGCATTCATTAAACAAATCAGTTGGGTTTACGTTGTTGTCTTCTTCGTCTGTTACTTTGTGATTCAATATTTTTTCTGTTTGATCACTCAAACTAGACTGGTTTCCTACAAATCCACCGTTACCTTGAAACACGTTTGTTTCATTTGGAACTATAAAAAGGCATCAGCTGTGGTAAAAGAGTTTTTTTATAAAAAAAGACGTATGTACCTTCTGTGTGGTTTTTCAGAATATGAACTGAAAGCAACTCCGTTGAATAAAATGAGAAAAGGCATCCAGGGCAAGCGTATACATACACACATGTCTAAAGTTATTGTTAGTGAAGTTTTGAATTTTAATTCTTGTGTTAAATATTAACGTGATTTACCTGTTCATTGTATGAAGATGATTCTTTATCAATGGCAATGCAGTTTCTTTGTAAATTAATCAGAATCGAAAGATTGTGTAATAACTTTAATATGGTAGCTTACTTTGGAATTATAGTCTTTAATCCTTTAGGAAAATCCAGGTTTTTTATCGTAACTGTACACGTAATTAATCTCATTAGAAATATTGCATAATTTGTTTAAATGTGTACCTTCGTGCGCGTTCAAGTAATGATTTCGTAACGATTGAGATCTAGAGTATTTTTGTTGGCAAAGCGTACAGTGATGTACAATTGTAACTTTTTCGGCCGATTCATTCATCATGTAAAAATAGCTCTTTTTTAAAATATTTTTTGTTTGTAGGAATATTAGGGAAATGTCTAGACCTCCGTATTTTTTGCAAACGTATTTTTTTTTGTACCACTTACAGGAATTCTGGCCAGAAGACCAGCAGACCAGTATGATTGCACCTATTTACAGTCCAATCCCAGCTATTCACGGTTCGTGAGTTCCAAAAACTCAAGAACTCTGCCTAGGAGGTCGCCCTCCTATTGCAAAGACTAGCCGCAGCCGCAATATCACAATTATATATCTTTTTCGATTTAGCTTCTTTTCAAAGAAACAAGAGTCACTACTAAACTAACCTTTTTATGTGATCGGTTACTTTCATACGATAAAAGAAGTATGTTAAGGAAAAAGAAAAGGAGAAGAACAAAGTGTGTGAACCAGCTTTATTTATTGATAAACAAGCTTATGTCAGGATGATTTCATTTGTCTATTTTATCATCCATAATGTTTGAGCCTTTACTTAAAATAGAAACAGTTGCAAAAACCTCCCAAGCAAGTCAGAGCTTGGTAATTGTCTATCTGCATTCCAGTAGTAGCTTGTAATGACAGTAAAGCAGATTTTATGGAATACAGAAAACGATCATCCAATGAAGTTTAGATGATATGGCATGTCAATCGACGTGTAGACCATCACGTTTGAAAAAATACGTTTGAAAAAATACGTTTGAAAAAAATACGGAGTTCTAGACATTTCCGAATATTAGAGGGTTTCAAACGTTGCAAAATAAAATTTATGAAGTTCAGATTTTGAAATGAAAATGGTCAAATGACAATTTTGAACAACAATGTTGATTGGCTGAAATGAGTTGTAGTTTTAAATTATTTTTTAATTTTGCAAACAAAAAGATGTCTGCATGCATCTTTTGTGGGATTTTCTTAAGTTTTGAGTTGGCAACCTGATGAATAGGCAACCTGAGTAGGCTACCTGAGTCTTTTCATTGGCTGAGTGTATTTGAGAGTGGAAGCACTGTTCAGTCGTTCCAACGCCAAAAGGTCAATAAATATTTCCAAAGGGCGGTTTTTTTCAACCCAAAAGGCGCCTTTTTTTTTCAAATAAATATGATAACTACTCGCTTTTACTATGAAGACGACCAAGGAAAATTGGTTGATGAGGAAGGAAACGATGCGATGGAATAGGTTGAGGAAGCTACTCCTTTTCACTTAAGAACTCTGACTGGTATTACAAAGTATTGTAGAAAGCAAGAGGAAGAAGGGGTTTCCTCCGAAGATTCCTTGAGAAATCTTCATGCTGATATGGAGGAAGTCATAGCTATAGTTAAGAAGCAGAAAAGGGTTCACCACAAATACTCAAACGAATTAAATTATTTAACGCAGCTAAGTCCGGGCGCTTAGCAGGCGGCATAGCCGAGAGAACAGCACAGAAATGGGCCAAAAGAAACTCAAAGAGGATAAGGATTGGGACATATTTGAGAAATAAACCAATTTGATCAATAGACCAAAACCACAATTGGATGAAAGACATAAGGTTCACCTGTTAGTGTTTTACGATAATTGGCCACAGGCACGAGTGCTTGATGCAATGGAATCACTCACTCAAAAATTCTCTGATCTGACTGTGAAGAAAAGTGCTGTCCACAACTTCCTTAAGGATGAGTGCAACCTTTCTTTTAAGAAGTTAACACGCTTGCCGGTTGCTAGAAATAATTCAGATAAGATCCAAACTCGTAAAAATTGGGTCATCAAGTGGACTGCTATACTGATATGAATTACTTAGAAAACTGTGTATTCGTAGACGAGTCTGCATTTGATATAAACATGAGACCTCCTAGCGGATGGTCTGTAAAAGGAACACCCGCTATTACGACCACTCCAACCACTAAAGCTGTATCTCATACTGTATTAGGCGCCATATCGACAAAGTTTGTTGTTGCTATAGAACTTTGTTGATTTATTAAGATTATAAGGAAACTTCAAATTAAAACAAAAGTCAAAGTTACATTTTTATTAATGCGAGTGAGTTGTGTTTTTATATGAATTACAAATATCTGAATCATGTTTTAGAACTACTAGGGTTTATATTGTCTTATAATGCAATGTCCTAGTATTATGTGATACATTATGACTGGATGCGGATGTATAGGTATTAATATATAATTTCTAGCGTCTAATGCACTATTGATTGATCATTTGTAATCCTCAAGAAGAACGCTCTAAGCGAATTAAAATTGTTCACAGTGGTCGTAAAAGAAAAGCACCTACTGAAAAAAAGAAAAAATCTGGGGGTACAGAAACTGGCCACTACGTTAGGTTTCTCGAGAAGTGCATGGATAAAATGGATTTGTATCCAGAGCTAAAAGGCCATTATATCGTGATGAACAACGCGCCCATTCATACTGCTGACCGGATTGATGAAATGATTACTGAAAGAGGTTACAGGAGCATCTACCTTCCTCCTTATTCTCCCGAGCTCAACCCAATAGAGAATTTTTGGTTCATTATCAAAAATAAGGTAAAACGAAGTTCGTTTAAAGATGCTGAAGATCTAGCTATTAACTCGTATCGCTGAAGCTTGCAATAACGTCCCTCCCGAGCATTTGAATGCATTTAACAAACACTCTGTTAATTACTTTGATATCTTCTTGTGCGGAGACCCTTTATGAAGCTTTTTAATAAAGATATAGCTATTCGATTCCAAAATAATAAAACGAACTTTGAAGTGAAAAACCGAAATTTGAAAAATTGAAAGGCGCCTTTTGGGTTGAAAAAAAACCGCCCTTAAATAAAAAAAAAGCCGCCTTTTGGGAATTGAAAAGCCGCCCTTTAAAATTATTTATTAACCGCCTTTTCATTTAAAAAGCCGCCTTTTGGCGTTGGAACGACTGTACACTATTCTTCCACTAAAAGTGATCCCTGATTATCTGATTTAAATTGAAAAAAAAAAGAATCAGAGGACGAATATAACAGTACATTGGCCACTCATGTACGTGGTTCAAGAAGAATTTTGAAGATAGATCGCATCTGCTAGTTTATTCATGCAAATACCTTATATAAAAGACATTTTGCCGAATATTTTTAAGGGTTTTCATTCGTTTGAAAAGATAGCTCACTGCATCATATATTATGCAAAGAAAGATGACTTAAGGGGTGATTAATGACCGGTTAATTCAACACATGTGTCAAAGGTTAACATATATAGAATGTGATAAAATTCACTTCTGCCATTGATGAGATAGCTAAAACTGTTACTATGCAAGATTGTTCAAGTTGGTTTAAGAGCGTTGTATTCTTTTGACATAGATGTGTGCCCTTGGATGTTGGACTGAGTATGTAATATATATTCGCTAAGGGCGTATTCCTTTGCTGATAACATTCAGCAGTCTAAAACTAGAAACAAGTTTCTTCCTTGTTGTTTTGATGAGACCATATTTTAAAAAGAGAAAGTAAGCAAAGAGGCGTCCAAATATTTTCCATTTGTTCCTAACCCAACCGAAAATACTTGAACATGTAAAAATAAAAATAAAAAGAGGGGGGAGTTACAAGTGGATGACGTGAAATGTGGGTTAAAAAAAGAAAGTAGCGTCATGCACGATGACTATTGGCTAAACAGTTTGTTCGTGACTTTTTGCCTTATTCAGCTTTTGCTTCTTTTTTTTTTTTCTTTTCATCTCTTTCTCTTTCATCTGTTTATACTAACTTTCTCTTTTAAAATGAATCCCGAATAGTAAGTAAAGCGCAAATAAAGCTAATATTGTCATCTAAACTTTATTTGTTAGCGATTATTTGTTTAAACTTTTATTAATTGGTGACTCTGGTGTTGGAAAGTCTTGTCTTTTACTCCGTTTTGCTGATGACACTTACACCGAAAGTTATATTTCCACCATCGGTGTTGACTTTGTAAAGCTATTTATTGGTTGACCTTTATGCTTCTACTAACACTAACTTTTGTAGAAAATCAGAACTATTGAATTAGAAGGAAAAACCGTCAAGCTTCAAATTGTAAGTTGAAGGTATCTTATTTAAGGGCATGAAAAAACCAACTCTTTTTATTTGTTTAGTGGGATACTGCGGGTCAAGAACGTTTCCGTACAATCACTTCTTCCTATTACCGTGGTGCCCATGGCATCATCGTTGTCTATGATGTCACAGACGAGGATTCTTTCAATAATGTTAAACAATGGTTACAAGAAATTGATCGATATGCAGCTGAAGGTGTGAATAAGTTATTAGTCGGTAACAAGAGTGATTTGGTCGACAAAAAAGTAGTTGATACCGAACAAGCAAAGGAATTTTCTGAATCATTAAAGATACCACTTTTGGAAACCTCTGCCAAGGATGCCACTAACGTCGAACAAGCTTTCTTGACCATGGCTAAGCAAATTAAGGATAGAATGGGTTCTACCATGCAACAAACACAAACCAAATCCACCGTCAAGGTCGGCCAAGGTGCTGCTCTTGAGCCTAAGCAATCTGGTGGTTGTTGTTAATTATTCTTTTTTTTTTTTTTTTTTTTTTTTTTTTTACTTGTTTGTGCACAGACATAATGTTTGGTTTTAGTTTAACAAATATTATAAATATATACTCACTCGGCGTTATTTAATTTCATTATAAAAAAATAAAATATTTTATTGTTATTTTTCCTTTTGTCCTCTCGTTTCAATTTGAATTCAAAGTAAGTAGTCTAGCATATTTCATAATCATTATCGCACTAAGTAGCCCTTATCTTTCTATCAGATCACAACCCAAGACCAGTTAGTATGGATAATACATCATCTGCCTCAACTGTTGATGTTACCGAAGAAAAGAAGAGAGTCGAAATTAATCAAGATGACATTGAAAGGAAAGAATCGCCACTAAATGGTCAAAAAATGGCAGAGGTACCAACCACCGCATGGGGAAGGTTCAAGCAAAGCAAGACTAAAGTTGCGTTACTTGTGACATCTGTTACACTCGTTGTGCTAGCAGCTATTATTGTTCCATTAATTGTGTGTGGGTTGATTGCAAAGCAAGATAATCATGAATCAAATGATAGCAAGCATCGAATTATTACTCCTGGTTCACCTGAATACCGAGATCCATTTGATGATTCAGCCCGGGCTCATGAATTTACACCACCGTTGAAAGAGAAATTTCGATACAATTCAGGTGATGCAGTACGCGGTATTAATCTTGGTGGCTGGCTTGTACTTGAACCTTTTATTACACCCAAGATTTTTGAACAAAATTCATCCATCAAGGACGAATATCATCTCTGCCAGTTCTTGGGCCCTGAAGAAGCCAAAAGACAACTCAAGGAACATTATGATACATTCATCACCGAAGCCGATTTCAAAAAGATTGCCGAAATGGGTTTTAATCATGTAAGAATTCCAACTGGTCACTGGGCAATTCAAGTCACTCCTGAGGAGCCGTATGTGGCATTTGAATCCTGGCAGTATTTACTCCGCGGTATTCAATGGGCTCGTAAATATGGATTGAGAGTGATGGTTGAGCTCCATACTGCCCCTGGTTCTCAAAATGGCTGGAACCATTCTGGTAGAGCTGGTCAAATCGGTTTCTTAAACGGTACCCATGGTGAAGAGAATGCTCAAAGAACGCTTGAAATCACAACTGAAATGATTCGATTCTTTTCTAAACCCGAGTGGTCGAACGTTGTTCCACTATACGGTGTCTTAAATGAGCCTGCTATGATGAGTATTCCCGAAGAAAAAGTAAAAGGTTGGTATGAAAAGTCCTATACTGCTATCAGAAAACTGTTAGGTGCTGGTCTTGGTCCACTATTGACTTATCACGATGGTTTTTACCCTCTTAAAAGCTGGAATGGTTTCTTTGGAAAGCTTTATGAACGAGTGATGTTAGGTAAAATATTATAGTTATTATATTTACGCAATTTACTAATGTGCCCTACCTTCTTTCCAGAAACTCACTTGTACATGATTTTCAATGAATACTTGGTAGCCTTGCCAAGAGATGAACAAGCTGAATTCCCATGTACTTCCTGGAGAAGTGATCTCAACGATGCTGCCAAAAATGCTGGTCCTACTATGGTTGGTGAATTTTGTATTGCTACCAATGACTGTGGTAAATATTTGAATGGTGTCGGTCTTGGTGCAAGATACGACGGCACATTAAAACAAGATGACGACTCGCCCAGTAAACCCGTCTGCCATAATTGTACCTGTGCTGGTGTGGATGACTGGAAAACGTGGACACCTGAATATAAGGAATTCTTATTGAAATTTATGGAAAAGCAAATGGATTCATACGAAGCAAGTGTTGGTTGGTTTTACTGGACATATAAGACAGAAGATCATATTAATCCACATTGGGACTATTTATTGGCTTGGGAACAAGGATTTGCACCTAAAAATGTAAATCTTCGTACAAATCATTGCGAGGCTCCCAAGTCTTCAACTTTGGCTGCCAACCCTACATAGATAAAAAAATCCACTTTTCTCACATATACATAGAACTAATACATATAATAATAAAAATGTCTCCTCCATTCTTTTTTATTATTTTTATTATTTTTATTCATAATCACTATAATCGATTCTTCGTGGTGGTTGCTCGATCGGTAATCCACTGCCACTTTCTTTGATGGGCGTAAAAGTATAATTGTCCTCATCATTGTAACATTCTTGCCAGTTTTTAATACCTTCCAAATAATTCACTTTCAAATCGGATCGATATTCTTCTAACTTTTCTAAATTCTCAATCGCCAGTTCATGCCCAATTTGTTGTATTTCTCTACTTTGCATAGACATTCTTTCTGCATGATTCACCGCAGAGTCTAAAATATCACCCGTTGTGGTCATTAACTTTCCCATGACGACTCGTAACACATTATTATACCAAAATGATATAATGGGAACTGACTGCAATATGCCTTTTTATTCAAACAGGGTTAATACGGTTCTGGAATAAATATGTTATTAATGATTTTACCCTCAAGTGTCCAGCTATCTTCTTGTTTGTATATCTTTAAAAGTCCACTATCACATTCTGTTTCACGGAAATGCAATGTTGTTATAGCGGGTACTTGAACTTTTAAAAAGCTTGGTAGTATTGTTGGTGAAAGATTATGTATTAAGTGGATCACGGCTGTATGTCTATAAGAGGTCAACTGGTTTATTACTCCGTATTTCGGCAAGAAATCTTACTTTACCCATCAAATACGATATTTGTTATTGTTGGTTCGCTTCGATTTAGTGTTTGCCATACTGTATAAATACTATTCAAATTAAATGAGACCGACGGGTTTTTTTTTTAAGAAGTAAGACAAACCTACTATTGAATGTTGTCCACTCCATCTGTACTCATAAGAGGGGAGCTTAATGAAGCATCCTGAAAAAAATAATACTCTAAAATTCGTTTCCGCTTGATGCTATTGTAAGAAAACAGGTCCTCAATAATGCCTAAATAAAAAGTTTAATGACCAGCTTCTTTTTTATGCATGTTGAATTATAAAAAGCTACTCTTAATTATGTTTGAGGAGGAAACTTCGTTGTGAATATCGGAAACAGACATTGTTGTTTTTATTTTATTTTAAGAAAAGAGGAAAAAAAAAAGAGGAGGTCATGAATATGAAATAAATTAAAGCTGTTGTGATGAAAAAACACATGATTTTAAGGTAGTACAAATTCTGTCATCCCTGGTTTATTTATAACGAGCGTTCTAATCTTTATTTAAGTTTTTCTTTCTTCTAACTTTTTTTTTTTTTTCGCTATTTCACATGCAATGGGTATCAGTACCTCACGCAGTCTTAAACATGATAACGAAACAGTACGAAGCATCAAAATTCCTAAACATCTTCAGCCGCTGAAACGAAAACAAACAAAGAAACGCAGTAGTGAATCTGTCACAACAGTGATAAATTCACCCAAAATTAATGAGCGTCTGTCAAACAATAAGAACCGCATCATGAATTGTTCCAGTTCGCAATTCACCTGGTCAAATGGAAGAAAATTTTCGTCAGAAATAAGCAGCAGTAAAGATGTAATTGGGATCCTATTATTTTTAATCGCCTGTTTAAGATTGATCAATTCTAATTTTTCTTCCTTCCAGTATGTCACTTGTCATCTTCCACAGGATCAACATGAATTAGATAGACAACGTGTACAGAGTTATATTTTACGCTGGGTTTTTGAAAGGTGAGTCGCACATGTATACATTATGTTTATATTTATCCAATTGTCATAATATAGTCGGCATATCGTTCCACCGATGATTAAGGACATGCTACTAGATGGCATTCGGGTACTTGACGTCAGGTAAGAAAATTTCAGAAAAAAAAAAAAAAAAATTCTCCTCCGCCTTTTTCACTAATCCATGAATAGTTGTGGACCAGGACTATATGTAATACATTTGACAATAACACAACAACATGAAGTAACTAACCTGGTACTTTTCTTTTTTTAGGTTGGCAATCCTTTTATGGACATGGCACAAGACTTTCATAAATCAACTTTTGATTCAATAGATATTTGTAATTTGATGGCTCGAAAGCAAGAAATGGATACAATTTATCATGAAGAAGTAAAATTGTCTCCGCCTGTTGGTCCCCAAAAGTTACTTGATAACTTCACATTCACACCATATAATGTCGTGAAAGAGCACCGGATACCCTACCCAGACGATACATTTGATTACACTCAGCAAAGTTTAGTAACATTGGCCTATGCTAAAGAAGATTGGAAGACCGTCATGTTGGATTTAAAAAGAGTAACCAAACCAGGTGGTTACATTCAATTATTAGAAATTGACTTGTGTCCACAACCCTTAGGAGATGCAAGCGGATTATGGCGGGACCAAGGTAAGGGAAAATACACGGTTTTATCTTTTAATATTTTACTCATCTTCAATAAAGTTCTTCAATGTTTCGAAGATAAACGGGGTCTTGACATAGGAATCCCTAAACGACTAAATCAGGTTTTGGCAGAAATTGGCCTAATTGAGATAGAAACACGTTTTGTATCTGTGCCGGTTGGGTCATGGGGCCTTGACATTGGGCTTTTATGGGAAGAAAATTTAAACAGCTTTTTGGAAGCCATGAGGCCCTATCTTGTGGAAGCCATGCAAGTAACAGATGAGCAGTACAAAAAAGATAGAGCTGCCTTTCAAAATGAGTTACAGAACGTAAAAGCATTTAATAATATCTGTATTGCTTGGGGTCGGATACCATTGTAATAAGGAGAATTTGCCTATCACATACACACTAATCTTAATAAAATCCAAAAAGGAGTGCATCATCATCATAAACCCCTTCCCCTACCTACCCCCCTTTTTTTTTTGTATGTTGTTGTTGTTGCATAATTGTAATGTTTGTTTCTTTTAATTTTTCATATTTTTTTTTCATGATACCAAATAATACTTCTTGTCCTTATTCAGCTGCTCAATCTACAACATCGCCTCTTTCTAATACCGTGGATCCCTCGAAACAAACACCACTACAACAAACTGATCCTCCATCACCTGTCATTGCATCGCGTATACAGCCAAATGAGACTCCTCCCACACAGGCTCAAATCGATATCGTAAGATATACTTGGGAACGTGTTTCTGACACTCGACACCCAGGTGATGATCCAAACGTATCCGCTTCCCATGCTTTTGGTTTGGCTTTTTATGAGGCTTTATTTGAACTCGATCCCTCGTTAAAACACCTATTCACAAATATATTTCAGCAAGCAAGAGCTTTAGCAGGTATGATATCTTACATTGCCCGTGCCCCCAATGTGGTCGGACAAAAACCCTGTCGGTCTCCGCCCACATCAGGATGCGGATTCGCCTCCCCACCACCATCAGGCAGAACACTAACAATTCGAGAAATTAATGCTAAAAAAAGAAAAGAAAACCCTGCGACCACATTCTCGGAACTGGTGATAAATACTGCAAATCATTCACCCGACTCAGTATCACAGGGAGATGACACTGAGGGAGATCCTGAGAGATTATTGTATAAATTACGGGAATTGGGTGCCAGACATTATTTTTATAATGTTCAATCGCATCAATTATCTCTTGTTGGGCCAGCTATATTAACTGCAATTAAGGTCAGGTTAGGAAAAGAATTTATACCAGAGGTAGCAGAAGCTTGGACGAGAGTGAGTTTTTATAAAAACCGGATTTTAGTTTCCCATGCCAGTGTACTAATTTAAAAAATGTACAGGCACATGCGTATGCCACGTATCATATGAGAATTGGATTAGAAGCACAGAATGCTTGGGAATTAAACAGAAGGAAATCAACGTCTTCTAAAATACCTTCAAATTTAAATCATGGTACAAAATCAAATTGCATGATTCAATAATTATACAAAATAATAAAACCTGACTCTGTTGATCTATGCAGATAGGTATTTATATGTATATATACATCCGATAGAATTTATGATGGAGATTTTACACATAACGGGTGAACAAACCTGACAATGTGAAAAAACAACAGAAAAAAAAGAAAAACATCATGGAGAACTCCAAAAAAAATTCGATAAAAGAGGATCCAAAAAAACAAAAATAAGACCACGCCGTGATTCGAACACGGGACCTAAAGATTTGCAATCTTTCGCAACTACCGCTGTGCTACGCAGTCTTAGATGTTTGTTTAATTTTAATTAAAAATATATTGTAAATATTAATAAAAAAAATCACGTGACTATCACGTGTAACACGTGTTTTGCAACAGTTTGATTGGCTGTTGATTTATAAAAGGATGCGTATAAACGGGGTAGCATTTTATAACCTAGCCTAAGTGCTTTATTCAGGCTGTAGCATCATAGAGTATTGAAAAATATGTGTAATGATTTACTGTTATGTGGTCCACCACTATATTTAGCTCTGGATATTTAGTGTTTTCAAAAAAAATTGTCCAAATAATTTTTACTGCGGTTCGAAACATATATTTTTATTAGTCTTCTGAAAGCATTTATAAGTCTGTCCGAAATTATCTGAATTTATGGTATATAATAGATCAATATGCATTACAGGGATGAGAGTTATGACCCAATGGGTTTGATCAATCATGCCCCGATAGATTTAAATGTGTTTTTTCGTCATTAAAAGGAAGTGAAACAATAACGGTTGATTCGTCGTCTTCATTTTCATCGCAGTACATTACGCTATCTATGTCGCTGTCACTATCAGAAAAGGCAATCAATCTGTTATCTTCCATATCTTCGGTGATGACAATTGTACCATCTGATCCAAGTGTTTGATTGACGTGGATATAGAGCCCATAGCACGCTAACAACCCAATTGTCTGATTGACAAACCGTTATTACATTTTCCTATACACGCAACAAAAAACGTATTTTACCTGAATTAATTTTACCACCCACAAACCTATACCCCAAATAAATACAGTAGGACCGAAAGCTTTTACCAGGATTGGGTAACAAGGACCTAATACAGCATCATCTAGATTTGTATTTATAAATGCTGGCCGATCAAACATATTCTGAAATCCCTGGCATTGCCACTGTTCCTGAATATCACTTAAACTGCTTCTTACATTTGAGTCCTCAGTGTAAGCAATTTTCCATGACAATTCTAGTTGTTCCTGGATGTAAGTATCTTTATCCAGCAAGAACCAGGTGGAATAAATCAGCTGCACTGTTACGAAGACGCATAATGGTATAAAATACTAGGACGCATGACGATTAATTTTTTTTCCCAAATAGGTCTTATTAACATTCTCACCCAATGAATATGTTCTGAACTTGCGCTGAGAAGTCCTGTTGTATACAATATGACAACAGATAAATGTAACCATTCTATACGAATTTGAATAGAAGGTAACATCTCGACGGCTTGGTATGATGTATGATGGCTTTTAGTTGTTATTTGTAATATCAACAATGTAGCAATGCACTTCTTTTTGTGTTAATCAAGATTTTATCTAAATATTGTGTGTACTTGACTTACTATGATGGAAAATACTGCGATAATAAACATCCATATGCGAGTATTATGAGAAACCATCTTGAGTAAAGATGAAATGAGATTGGAAGAAAAGGTGCAAATGAATAATTTATAGAACTATTTGACAACAATGTTTTCAAGACCGAAATAGGAATGCGCATTCCTTGATATTAGTGTTTATTTATTCGTCAACAGATATCTAAAGTCATATTTTACTATTAGACCAGGTCTCTCATTTAAAAGCATTATAAGATATTCCCTGTACGTTATAAATACTAAGTTAAAACTCTACAATAATGAGAAAAAAAAATGGTTTAGCTAGTCGTGTTTGGTGAGTGCTTCAAAAACCTTCTAACGTTAGCTATTATTATCAAAGATTGTTTACTTAATCCTGTTTTACAATATCTACAATATGTAAAGTATAATGGTATGCACTAATATTTTACAGAAATGACCTGTATAGATTACCATGAAGAAGGGCATGCGAACAAAGTATATTTTAAGTGCTTTTTCTACAGAGAGGCTTCTAAAAACGATGGTAATTTTGTGATAACATGCACTGTTTATAGAGCTATATTTTAACATGTTTAAAGTGGACATATCCTCTACCAAAAAAAGAAAGCAAAGTTTTACTGTTAAATCTGAAAAAAGTCAGGCGAAGAGAAAAAAGATTGACTCGGGCCCGACAGCCGAAGTATGTAGAAGTTGCAAACAAACAGGCCATAAAAAAAGGTCCAAAAATCGCCCCAAAAAGGGGGTATTACAAGATAATCTAGGTGCCAACTATCAAGCCTACAACCGCAAAATCCCTTTTACTACAATCTTTAATGATACATATGACGGGTAGTCTTTTATACCAAAAAAGGCTGTTGCGGAGAAAGCAAGAGAATGTGTAGAGGCGATTGAGGCTGGGACGCCTAAAAAAAAAAACTGCAGATGTCAATATATACAGAAATTATATCCAACACATTTCCAGTTGGTACAACAAGAGACAGATTTTTTCTACATCAACGAAGACAGTAAACTGCTGAAGCGATGGTAAACATTTTGGTACACGGTACTTCAAAGTACAACAAATGTAAAAGAGACAAGAAGAAAATAAAAAAGCGAAGAAAGAAGAAGTTTAAAAAGAGAGATGCCAAAATTGGTATGAAAAATGCGACGGATAAGAAGTAAGCAACCCGTATTTTTTTTAAGTTTATGTTATTGCTAATCCTTTTGTTCGAAAAGGCCAAATAAGTGCAAGCCACTTCCGTATGAAGAAGATAAATCTAAGGTTCCGCTGGTAGTCTTTGAGGCAGGAGTGTTAGGAAAAGACCTGGTTAAGCTGAAGGGTCTTAGGTGTAGCGTGACTGGGATTATGTGGAGATCATTAAAAAAACGCGAAGCTGCAGGTGAGTTGATCGCTATCACATCCAAAGTATGCAGTCAGTGTTATCTTAATGATCTGAAGGTGATTAAAACTCCCGGCTTCAAGGGTAGTGGAGTTCTTTGCTGCCCAAAATGTAAAAAAAGTGTGGCAAAAGGACGTGAATGCTGCCAGAGATATTATGTTAATCTCAAAGGCGATTTGGTCAGGCGAAGGAAGACCAGAGGCTTTTTTACCCAAAAAAAAAAAAAACTAAACAATAAGCCTAATATGTTCTCATTATCGTATCGCTGTATCAAACACGGTTTCCTTTTAAGATCATTACAGGTAAAAGCAATGTTTGTCCGAAAATTCAATTTCTTACATTCTGTCCAAAAAAGTAAACAACTAGCGTGAAATTAAAAATTTCAACTGGTTGTGTATCTTCCCCTTCTTTTAATCAAAAACCAAATGTATGCTTAAAAACAATCAGTAAATGACAGTAACCAGCAAAACAATTAAACGCCCTCGGTTCTATTTCTGGCGAAAGACTCTATCTTTGTCCGATCTCAATGTACCTCGTCGGTCAAAAATAACTATTGATGCACTTCGGACCCTTAGTCTAATTCCTTCATTCCTTGGATTTCTGTACAACAGTAGACAGGCATTGTATGTTCCATTGCGCGATGCAGGAGGTCCCTTGATCTTACAAAGTTCTCAGGTTGATTACGTTGTAGCTAGCATTTGGGTAATTCATTTGTTCATTCAGGATTCGTTATACTAAACCATTTTTATACTACGAAGTGTGCATTGGCTGGTTATTGGAACTGGATCTTGACAACAAGCATGATGAGGCGATGGATCTTTCACTATGAAATGAGTAGTGCTATTGTCCGTTTGATTACGTTTATAGTTATTACATGGTGTATATCAGCTTATGTTGGTTCACATAACGGTCCTGATCAGCCTATTAGAACATGGATGGTCAACTGCTTCATCCTTTTGATCACAGATATCGTCAGACTAACGATTGTATCCGACCCAAAATACCACGGAAAAACGGCAGACGTGAAAGATCCCAACTTATTCCTAAAACTAACAGTAATGAAGGTGCTGGTACTCCCAATGTCAGCCGCAAC